GGTGAAGTATAAGCCGGGAAAGCAGAATGCTTTGGCTGATGCGTTGTCACGCAGACCATACTATGAGCTTGCTCATGTAGCAACTGTAACGTCGTCTGTGACGGATTTAATCTGCACCGCGTATGCGGGGGATGGGATGTGTGTAGCCTTGCTGCGGGCTCTTGGGAGCAAGAAGTTTGGAGACTCGGACAAGAAATTGTCACCAAGACTGCGTGCACGACAGCGGATACACCACGAATTGTGGTTCCTCACGATGAGGATTTGAAATATCGCATCCTCTATGAGTCTCACGACACGCCAGTCAGTGGTCATCTCGGTCGTGCGATAACGTACAACTCTGTGATCACCACTATTGGTGGCCCAAGCTGTACAAATGGACGAGCTCCTATGTGCGCACGTGTGAGACGTGTCAACCAGTGAAACCCTCTCCAAATGCGGCTGCGCCGCTGGCCAGCTTACCGGTACCCACTGGGTGCTGGCAGTCCATGAGTTTGGACTGTGTGTTTGGCCTGCCGAAAGATTCAGCGAGCAACACGGGTGTCGTGGTATTTGTCAACCGGTTGAGCAAGATGGCTCATTTGGCGGCGGTGCCAGACACCATCGACGGGGTCAGTACAGCAACGCTGTTCGTGGATCGTGTTTTTTGACAACACGGACTCCCAGAGTCGATTGTCTCTGATAGAGACCCCTGTTTCACAGGAAAATTTTGGTCGACTATCTTCAAGGTGCTGGGCACCAAGTTGGAGATGTCGATAGCGGATCATCCGCAGATCGATGGTCAAACCAAAAGGGTGAATCGCGTCACTGAAGACATTCTTCGCAGCGTCTGCGCTGAGACGCCGAGGCGCTGGAGCGCCATGTTGTCACTCGTAGAGTGTGCGCTGAACAATGCAGTGCATTCGTCTACCGGCTACACGCCGTTCTACGTAAATGGGCTGATTTATCCTCGCGTCCCGCTGACGCCACCATATCATGGATCAGTGCTTGGTGGAAGAGGAATAGCCGAACGGCTAGCTGATGTCAGCCCCCTCACCACCTGTAAAGAAGTCGATGACTTTTC